GTGAAACTATGGGTAAAGTTGAGTATTAATTTCCTATATGCTAATTGCTGCAATATTAGTAAAAGAAACTATTAAATGAGCAAATGAATGTGTGTTGTATTTAGTAAGGCAACCTTCATTGACTAAGTAGATTAGTATTTCATATTTGAAATATTTCTCAAAGTATGTGTGTTTTGTATTTAAATTATTTAAACATGTAATTTACTCAACTATGAATGTGTTTGCAGGATCAAGCATATTTCTTAGCAGCATATTAATATTGGTAAGTGAAGTGAATGCCTTTTCTTCATTTAATGTTATTCTTTACAGCCACTTAACATATTGAGCAAATAGGTTTAATATTTAGTCTGATCCAAACAGAATGTTTGTTAAGCACAAAATGTCAGCAACTGATCCTTTTGCTTATACAACACTGTATTAATTAATCAACTGATAAACTATGAAGTGGCCCTTTGCATGTCTATAGCAAAGCATGTGGGTGGCCAGGTGTCCTACTTTGATGATCAGTCATCTCTTTGACGGTTTCCTCTGTCTGGAGGAATGTACAGTTGGTGAGTCCTGTTTTTAGGATAAAGAACCATAATTAGACAGAACAGAGGTCTTGAAGCTGACCATCAAATAGATAGCTGACTGAGCAGCCACACAGATCATCTTGTCACAGAAACAGGCAGCCTAGTGTGAAGGGGTGCTCACCTGACCTCCTCCGAACAGGTGAGTTGCTGCTGCTTACTGTAAAGAACAAGTGGAGGGACAAGGCGGCAGGAAGGCTGGCATGGTGTAAACACACCAGCAGGACTGCTGCAATGTCATCTTAGATGAAGGAATGGAGAAACAAAGCCAATTGCCCATAATAGTACCAGCAGTTGACTGGTTTTTTATGGACTAAGTTTGAATATGTTGATGAGATTCTAGCTTCTTATCCTTATCAGGCTAAGCTCTACTATAACTGAGCCACAAGGAGCAGACTGGAGTTATGGGTAATGAGTCAAAGGGTATATATTATGAAGTCTTCCTAATGCTCTTCAGGTTCAAAGGCCAATGCTCTAGCATGAGCTACTTATAACTTACAGTAAATCTCAAGGAACAGAACAATTACGTCTGAGTTCCAGCTTCCACTGCTGTATGTACTATACCAGATCAAGAAAGGTTAGGTTGTATATGTTCCTGATGGGAACCATTCCAGCAGATTTTTCAGCATTTATTAGGCCATTATTTTGTTTATTTTATCTCTATATAAAGGTTTCTAAGATACATTAGCACAACCGAGAACCATACACACTATAGGCTAAGCAGAAACGATCAGACTCTGTTTGGAATGGCTCCTCATGACTTGTATGTGGAAGAATACACTAAATATAGGGTATAATTTTGGAAAGGTGAAGAGGGCTCAGAGATATAATCCTACCAACCACTCCTGAATTTCACTTCAGCTTTTCAGGCCTCTCCCCACACTTTCACAAACCTACCATGCTGGAGGAAAACAGAAGCCAACAATTAATTCTAAGCTGTCCTGCATTGTGGATGTAAAAGAAAGTACAGGGTTTTTATTCCTCCTGATTCCTTGAACTGAAGGAATAATAAAATTCTGTTCACAGATTTTTAAGCTGATTCTCACTCCACAATGAAAATGTCTGTGCATGTTTGGAGCCTACTTTGATGTCTTTGGGAAGTATGGGTTTTCATACCTCATGACATGTTGTCTTGGAAGAATATAAATCAAAACATTGCAATTGCCTGACTTCCCATCTGCAATGGAGGATCAGGGCATACTCACACGTCTGCAACACAGGGATCTAGAAATTTAGGAAGAAATTTTGGGCTGATGCATTGGCTGATGTTTTCTGTACTTACACACACACACCTTATCTTGATAAACTGGTAGGAAAGAAACTGTCAGACAAGAGAGACAGCAGTAGGGCAGGAAATCCCCACCCCAAGATTGGTCTTTTCGCGCTTTGGAGAGTTCTTGGGAAATGCCTCAGCTTTTTACAATTTTTTCCCAAATGGTTCAGAAGGGGAATTAAGAGGTCTCACAGGTTTCAGGAGTAAGCAGGCTGACATTACAGTGGAACCTCGGGTTACGAACGTGATCTGTGCAGGAGGCACGTTCACAACCCGCAGCATTCACAACCCGCAACGCTGCATCTGCGCACACGCGTAACGCGATTTGGCACTTCTGCGCATGTGCGAGTGCCGAAACCTGGAAGTAACCCGTTCCACTACTTCCGGGTTCGGCGCGGTCCGTAACCTGAAAACGCGCAAACCACAGTGTTCGTAACCCGAGGTAAGACTGTAATTCCAATTGGGGAAAAGAAACTATGTTTCTTGGGACAACTGCCTACCACTGCTCACTGCCTATCACCACTTTGCTATTACTGTACTGGCAGATTTGTATGGGTGCAATCCTTGGGACGATACACTCCAACAAGGGCTGCAGGTGCTTCTTTCATGCATCCCTGTCATCATAAATAAGGGCATTTTGCATTTGTCTGAGCAATATATATGGGAACAGGATGAGAGAGTGAGGAAGCAAATGTCGTTTCATTTTAATGCTACAAAGCATCAGGGATTGCTATGAACTCAGCATGAATGAAGACAGAAATATATTGTTTGTAATGTCACCCTGAGCTTTTATATCCCATTGCATTACATTAGTAATAATTTCCCCAAAATGGTTAACCAATGTAAATACTGCTTTCCCCCTAATTTTCCTCATGCATCCAACACTGAAGCAGCAGGGCTAACCTGTCTTAGAATTAGCTGTTTTGGCATCAACTGCTGAGTAACACAGCATGTGCCATCAATTCATCTAAATGTGTTACAGCAGATCAATACTGAATCTGTAAAGCCATTTGTTCTTTGACTCTACATGGCAAAAAACATTGCCTTAAAAATAACTCAATTTTCTCCATCTGAGACAAAACGGAACATCAACGCTATAAAAGTAAACAGGCAGCACAATGGGCCCTGCATTTGAAAAATGTGTTTTTTTCAAATGAGGTTTAAGTGGGAGTTGGTTATTGTTGTTTTTTTTACTACAGAAAATATGTTATCTTCATGGAACATTTTCTGAATATTGTTTTTATGCAAATTATTATAGACAGGGAAAACATGAAGTTTCACTTGCCTCCGGGGAGAAAGAGGAGATGGACAAGCAATATCCTATATATTCAAAATTGAACAAATTATCAAAGAATGAGGCTGCCATCTTATACCCATTTACCAGAGAGTAAGCTCCATTTAACTGAACGGGGCTTGCTCCTGCAAAGGCATGTATATGATTGGGCTGTGAATCAAAAAGATATGACACATTAGCAATAAATAATGTAAGATTTAATCTAAATTTCCTTTACAAATGTGCCATAGAGAAAGTTACACAGAATAAAACTGGCAGTCCCATCCAGATAATTTTAGCTAATGGCAGTAAGCTGAAATATTATTAGCAAACAGCTGGTCTGTGGCACAACATCTCACTTTCCCTTCATATCTTTTCTCAAAATTCACCTTTTCCACGAAGGCTTTGCTTAATCTCACACACCCCAAATGTTGAAATGCAGTCCAAGCACATTTAGTGTTTAAATCATAGAAGAATGTCAAAATAGAGGGAGAAAAAAATGCTACAAAATTTGCATTGGGGAAGTCTTACATAATCTTGAGGAGGAAACAAGGAACTAATACAAGGTTTATCTTCATTAGCTGATAGTCTGTATTAATAATTCATTGGTTTAATAGAATGTATAATAGCATCATTCCTCTTCAGAAAATAATAATAATAAAATCTGGTCTTTGAAAAACAAATCAACAGCAGACTGCACCATAAATATTGTTAATAGCATGTCCTTTGTTCACTTTCTGTAATTAAAGACAGCATCCCAACAAGACATACTCCAAAAAAGTGGCTACCTTCAGAATTTGTAGGTTCAAATGCACACTCTAAGGACAACAAGGCTGAAAACCTATAACATTTGCCTGCAAGTAACTCCCATTGAACTCAGTTTTCAATCAACCTAATTATTATGACTACCTCTGCTTTCTGTAACATATTTCCGTGCAAAGAGTTACCCTAACACTGTGGGGCCTACAGTACCATACCTGGAAGATATACAAGTATACCAATTCTGTTTATCAAACACATTCACTTTGCGCAACGCATCATATTTATACCATTTTCATTTTCCTTGACTATTATGCTGTACTCTTGGGTTCTCAGACACAGGGCCAAATATAGTCATACCGTTCACACTCTGGAGATATTGAGAGTCATTACATTAAGTATACTTTGAGATAACCTGCACCTGATTGCAAGGCAAATACACAGCCCCAGATGGAAGGGAGTGGGAAAGGACCGGGAAAGAGAAGACCCACCTCATTCCCACTATTCAGTTGCCTCTGTACCCCCCACCAACACACATACACCTCCTGGGTTCTCTCTCACACTCCATTGGAGATGAATGAATCTGTCAATTTAAGTTTCTCCCAGTTTCTCATTTTTCCACTTTGAAGTTCAGTTCTTCACATTTGCTCATCAGTTTGTGGTTCGTGTTTAACGTCCTCACGAAAATTCACCAGCATTTTAGTGTGAGAATTTCTCCCAATACGCAAATTTCTGCAGGGAATTTCATTTTTACTAAGCAGTTTTCCCCTAATATAATGCATTGTTATGCTACTGAAACATGGTTGACATGGATTTATTGGTGATAATTGTCCATAGCTTAAACTAATTGTTTTCCTCATTTCCTTCCATTTTCTCTCTATCCTAATTTCATAAAAATGTGTAAAAACCATCACTGAGCCATTTTGCTAGCCCCGTTGAAAATATTTTGACTTCCACTGGAATTCCTAGGATGTTTTGCACCTTCCACATTCATCTCAACGTTTTTGGGTCAATTTTTTTTTTTTGGTCAGCCTTGGTTTTAAAGCTCTGTGTGTCTTTTCAGACCAAATAATCAAAAGATTACCCCCACAAGTCTTAGGAGAATAATATTTTGTTAGGGACTTACAGACGGAATTCTTGTGGTTGCTGTCTTTGTTAGGTAGCATCTTGACCCCTCTTGATTTTAGTTCAATTGCCTTTTTCACTGTAAAAGAAAAAAGACAAAATGGTAGAAACACATATTGCATTCAATATTTATTTACTCAAATTTGAAGAAATTTGGATATGGGACACCAGTTTATTTTCCTATAAGCAGTGCTATTTTTTTTTAGAAAAAGCAGTGCCGGAACTTACCATGAAAACCTCACTTATTCTCTTAGAATGGCAATGGCATCCACTTGAGAGGTGCCAGAACTGAGTTCCAGCTGAAAAAAATCCCTGCCTATAAGTAAATGTATCATTTAGTCATTATTTTAAATGATTTTGTAGAGAAGTCTTTATCTCCCACGACCAAAAGTAAAGATTCCCAATTGCTCCACTACTAACTTGTTAAATGAAGATGCATTTTTATATATGAAAATGGGTACAGATATTAAGCACTTCATCATAATGGAATAGAGTTCAAACATGTTTGACTTTCTTTAATTCATTGGGCTGCATTTGACCCATCATGCTCAAGTTTTTCAAGGTTGAGTGGCTACTGACATTCAAATTTATGTGGCATGTCCTCAACAGATCTTGAGAACCCTGAGCTTCATACTTAATCAGCCTCAGCACAAAACATGCACCAACTATTTAGTGCTAAAAATACCTTTCTTTCCAAGCAACAAGACTTTTGCCAACGAGCTTCAGTGATGACAGAGATTTACAGACACACTGACTAGACCATCGAAGTCAATGAGCATGTGGCAGTACCTTGAGCAGTTCCTATGACATGGGGAAAACCTATTCGTTGGTATTTGCTGTTGCTTGAAACTCCATAGTTGGGAGCAGCTTGAGGGAAGAAAAACACTGGGTGGGGGAAGGGTTAAGTACTCCTACCCTTCATCCCATGGGTTATTTCTCCACTCACAAACACCACCTCTCAAACTGAGTTTTCTTGTGCCAATCAGTCTGCTGTTACATGCAATCATATGCAGTCTGGTTTTTATGTAATTGACTAACAAATATCATTAAAACTTAGTTAACTTGTGGGGGACATGCAGTCAAATCTAACACTGTGAATTATTGCAAGTTAGCATGTGAAAGGGTTAAGACCATAGAGCCTGATAGGCCATCTCAGACCACAGAAACATAATTGGTAGAGAAGGTTCTGTGTGATATAATACCCGCCTTTTCTCCTGGGAGGGAAACAGCAAATAAGTATTTCCTGTTCCCACTCTCTCTTTGACGAACAATGCAGATGGACATCTATCTACTTGCTCCAGCATCAGGGAAATGCCTGAAGGCGTTTCTGCTGCAAACACAAGTATTTTACCTGCATTTATTTTTACTGCTATTACTGCTAAGATCAAATGCTTGACTGTGAGTAAACTATATGCTTTAAACTTACTTTTCAGTCTGTAGCCTGTTTCTTTGACAAACAGGGTAACAAAGGGGGAGATCAACCTAACAGCTAATTCCCATGCTTTCAATTAAACTCCATAAAATGAGATTTAAACTCTGCTCAGTTCCACATTTTTAGACACAAGTGAGAAGTGGATCCTTTTGTCCATTAACCCACACACGTGGGTCTGTAGGGAAACAAAATATAGTTAATTATATAACTTCACCTACTTAATAAAACCCATAACTTTCCTGATAAAATCAGAATATAATTATGGAAAATATGGAAGAAAGAAGGATATTTGCCAATATTAAATTGGACATCAGTTTCTTAATTTTAATCGGTTAACATGGCAGGCGTTTGCAGCAGGTCACTTTTTGCCTGCATATCAATTACCACACTCTAATAAAGCTTTATTGAAATGATTCAAGTATGTTCCATTAGAAAGCCATGGAAATCAGACAAGTCTGGGGTTTTGTTTTTGTTTTTTAATCATGCTGGCAGTTTCTGTCAACGTGTTTGAAGTGTCTCAACTGGTATTAATGTTCTCATTATTGAATTTCATAGGAGACATAAAAGCATTATTGCCTTTTTATGTTGTTCTGTCTGTGAGAGACTGAGAGGGTGAGAAATTACAAGCCTTCAACAAATTTCCCTCCACAACACTCGTCTGTTTTGTCTATTGCAATGTGAGATACTCAATTTTTTAATTATCTGTGTTCATCATTATCTCCCGAGTAGTACTGGGGACTCGTGCACTTCTTGCTGTGTGACAATTTACCTCAGGATTGTGCCGAAGGCAAGAGGGTCAATACAGCATCAATTCCATTTGATCTCGTGTATTGCAGAAGAACAGAAACCACCACCTGGTTCTATGTCTCCAATGATTCCAAAAGAGTTGCTGCTTTGTGGCATACAGGCCTCAGAACCACAAAGCAATGTGAGTTTGTACCAACAAAGTCCTGCAGTGAGGCTTCTCCTGCTTGGAAATGTATGATCACCCCAGAGGAGGTCCATGTGATGTCACAGTGGCCTTTGAGGTGATCATTTCCTAGTTGGAGAGGTGACGGATCATGATTCCTTTGCGGATCCATGATTCCTATTTTAATGTATTTAGATTGATCTCTGATTACTTTTATCTGACAATAAACACCTGCAGTCCAGATACTATTTATGCTAATGGAGTTGGATCGCACCCATTGATTATATTATTTAGCTATACAAGCTCTAAGGGAACTAAGAAAAGCACACATTGGTAATCAAGAGCTTTCCCCAGAGGCCTTTACAAATGGACCTCAGGAACATGTTCCTATTTCTTTGTGATATGTGGGACAAACCCCATTTCCCAAGGGGGGGATGCCTGGAAAGTGTAAAGCAGCAGTTATTTCAGAAGCAGCCCCTTCTTTCATAGTCACAATTGAGGGGTAGGTGGAGTAAGGGAACTGCAACAGGATGGAGAAGCAAGGCATGGATACCTTGTGCTTGAGACATCACAAGAACGTTCAGCCAAATGGCTTAAATGGTGCCTGGGAGGCAGTGAGGGCCTTTTTGAGCTGTTGAGCAAGAGACAGAGTGGAAAAATATCATTGGCACCAATTGATGCATTCCTAAGGCAGCCTGAGGAGGGTGGGCAGTGAATGGTGCCTACTAAAGGGACAATTTGCCTTCCCTCCATTTGCAGCAGCACCCAGCCTCCCTCCCTGTCTCTCAGTGTGCTTCAAAGTTGCCACTAGGGGACCATGTTGGAATTTTTTTCAATCAGCATTTTAGATTACGGATTGGTTCCCCCCCCCCCACTTCACTCTGAATAGCAAGACAGAGTGCTACATGATCTACTTTGTTGTTTAAATAGGTTAATCTTCTGGATCTGGGCACTTTAGGTGTGCAAAAAAGACCAAAAATGGTTTAGCCTGGTGACGCACGTTAGGCACTTTTCAGGTCAGCCCCAAGGCTCAGTTCCTGGACTCTTGTTCAGGGGCTGGGGTAAGGGCCTCCTTTGAGGCTGAAATCTCACATCTACCTGGGGTTCTGCAGTCCCGGGTGGTGATGAGACAAGGCCTTCTTTCTCACCTGTAAGCATGGGTTGGCCATTGACTCTTGTTATCCAGTTAAGTTAGTTCCCGCCCCATAGTCATCCCCATCTGCTGATTTAAATTTAAGGTCTAAATAAAAGTCACCTAGTTCACCCCCTGCTTATGTGTTTTCCTATTGTGGTGCAAAAACCAGCCACTAGTCCCAGGGTTGAACAGCTGAGCTTGGCAGCTGGAGGTCACAGGGCTAAATCTGCCACTCATATTTTAACCAGCTCTTCTTCCATTGAAAGCTTGTGACAAGATAAACATGTGATAACCTATCCTTTTCCCCATAGTGCTCCTTGTTAACCTAGTCTCAAGCAGGGCAATTCATTAAAGCAGCTGCAGTTGCTCCATTAGTGCTAGATATCTGCCCACTTGAGATGAACTAGAGCCACATTTTGAGGTTACGGATTAGGGCTGAGGTTCTCAGTATGATGCCCATAAATACCACAGCACCCTCAGCATTCCCTACCCACATTTATTACACACACACACACACACACACACTTTGGCCTCTGGGGGGTTGTTTAGTTGTGAAAGGGTTGCTTTTGGAGATCAAGATTTAAAAAGGTTGGCGATCCCTGGGTTAGGGCAACATTCTCTTGGAAAAGCACTATAAGTGGAAATATTATTCCAATTCCATATAATCTATTTTGACAGTTTATATTCTGCTTAATTACAGTAGTCTCTAAGTGGTGCACAGCAAGCTCAACAAATATAATAGAGATAAAATAAAAGTATATAATAACTTAAAACACCTGCAGAAATGCATATTCCGCATGTTCCTTTTTTTACTGCACTTATTTCCAGTTGTATTAGTTGAAAGCCTTCATTCTCCTGGTTCATTTAAAACTATTACAGTTTTGCATGATTGGCTTTCTGGAAGCAGCCCAAAAAATAATTGTGCACCTAAAATGTATTAAATGTGATTATATGCCAACCATTGGAAAGGGGAGGAAGGGAGTGTGCACTTTTACAGCAGTGCCCAAATCATGTTAAAGATCACATTACAGTGTGAGAACAAAGAGAAAAGCAGGTAAGAGTTTTCTCCACCCCATTTTAATGTATTTAGATTGATCTCTGATTACTTTTATCTGACAATAAACACCTGCAGTCCAGATACTATTTATGTTAATGGAGTTGGATTGCACCCATTGATTATATTGTTTAACCTGGTATAAAATGTCTTATCTGCATTAGATAAAGAATCCATGATCCATTTTTTTGAGAACTTTGCACTGAAAAATATATTCAAAGCATCTAAGACAGGCTTCCTCAAACTTGGCCCTCCAGCTGTTTTGGGACTACAACTCCCATGATCCCTAGCTAGCAGGACCAGTGGCCAGGGATGATGGGAACTGTAGTCTCAAAACATCTGGAGGACCGAGTTTGAGCAAGCCTGATCTAAGATATCAAGAAAAACTGGTTGAACTTGAAAGTATTATTATAAGCCTCGGATCAAAAATATGCACAATAAATTAAGATAATTATATTCAGCAAGTAAGTCTACAACTTTATGTTAAAAATAGGCATCTGAAATAGGAAAAAAACTATGGAAGAGAAGTATGAACAAATTAACTAAGA